TAGTAAATCCTGAATTTGTTGTGTATTTCTTTATATTTTAACTGTATATGAACCATCTCTAAACAGATAAAATATTGTGTTTTTTAAATTCGATTTAATTGATCTCCTATAGAGGGATTTTCAGAACAGAAAATGTGTACTATGAAGAAAATTGTGTGGACCTCAAAAAAATTTTGGACCAAAATAAATTTGAACTGTAATTACATTTTCCACAGACTTTTTGAAGTCTCCTTGTCTATATTCTGAACTTGCTATCCTCACTTCACTGTGTGTTTATATTTATCCATGCTTGTGTATGTAGCTCATTCATTTTTCATGATATGAGATACTGTGATCTACTTAGTCATTCTCCTGTTGATGGACATTTAGTTTCCTGCTTTTGGTTATTATAAGAAATGATACTATGAACATGAATGTAAATATTTTTCTAAAATATCCATGACAACATAATTTATAACAGCCAAAAAAAAAATAGAAACAACCCAGTAGTCTATCAGTTGATGAATAGATAAATAAAATATAGAGACCAGCAGGTGCTATAGTGGTTAGGGTAATAGATTCCCACATGGCTAGCTGTGATTTGAGGACCAGATCTGGTGGCTTGAAAAATCACACTGAGCGTGTTTATGTGCATGCCCAAATTCCAAGAGGAGAATGGAAGAGAGGAGATTGCAGAATAGGGATTCTTTTTTTTTTTTAATTGTCATTATTTTATTCTATTTTTTTTTTGAAGTTGATCAGAGAGAGAGAGAAGGAAAGTGAGAACGCAAGCTGCCAGGTCTAGGATTTGAACCTCTAAGCCATGTGGGAGTGGGAGTCCAGCTGCCCTAACTACCACACCACCGATGAACCCCCAGATTAGGGATTTCTCTCTCTGTCTCTCCTGCAAGTGCACATGTCCTATGGCAAAAGCCTTTAAAAAAAAAAAAAAAAAAAAAAGGAAATCTATATAATGGAGTATTAATTATAAAAAGGAATGGGGGGTGCAGTGGTGTGGCATGGTGGTTAAGGACGCTGGACTCCCATCATGGCCGACTGTGGTTCATATTTAGGACCTGGCTTTCTATCTCCCTCTCTCCGTCCCTCTCTGATCAAATTAAAATAAAAATAAAGTTAAATAATTTAATAATTTTGTATAAGAATAATGTACTGATACATACTACAGTATATGTGAACCTTGAAAACATGCTAAATGGAAAAAATCAGTCACAAAAAACCACATATGTATGATTCCACTTATATTAAATGTCCAGAATAGGTGAGTCCATTCAGACAGAAAGATTAGTGCTTACTAGAATCTGGAAGAAGCAGGTAATGGTGAGTGACTTCTAATGAGTTTGAGGTTTTTTAGGGGAGAGGGGTGGTGAAAATTTTCTAGGCATCACTCTGAGATGAGCTAATTATGGTATATAGATTGAATTTTAATTAAGATAATTTCTTTTTTTTTCTTTTTACGGTATTTGCTGCACATGTGCTCACTGGAGAGACAGGGAAAGTGAGAAATCATCCTCTAAGGGGCATGGCCAGGCTGCAATCCCTTCTCCATTCGCTGAGGATTTTGGGCACACACTCACATGAGCCTAGTGTGATTTTTCCAATCACCGGGTCCAGGACTCAAACGACTGTCAACCATGTGGAAGTTCAGTGCCTTAACTACCATGCCACCTGCTGGCCCCAAAGACAATTTTTATAGTACTTTTCAAACCCAACCCACAGGTGTACAGGCAGGTTATTAACCAATTTATAGAGTCACTAACACACTTTAGTTAATTTAAATATGTAAATTCCTGAAAAATTTAAATGGAAACATAAATAGCATACTCTTTGTAGTGATTATGAATATACAGTATTTACACAAAAAAGGCTCTCAGTAAGTTTTTGTTGGATATTTTGGTTTTGCTATTTGTGGAGATGATTGGGGTGAACAGTGCAAACTAGACCAGAAATGGACTCGTGAGTCAAATAATTCGTAGCCGTAAGAAGAAAGGCTCTCATTCGGCTTGTCTCATCCCTCTGTTCACATTCACAGGTTTAGCCAAGAAATATAAGCAGCAGAACTGCGAAGCGCTTTCACATCTGCCTTGCCGCCCAGATTTTTGTCATGACTCCATTTTGTACTCTAGTCAAGTATATTTCTGATTCTTTTCATTACCGAATTGTAATCATACTAGAAATCATTTGACAACTTTGAAAGTATACCACTGTTACTTCATCTGCCATTCGTTTCAGTTTGTATTAGTGATTTCGTACGTGGGTTCAATTTTATCTATTTTGGAACTTTAGAGTGCTGACATACTCATTTTTGTTTTGAACAGGAATAATGACAAATACTTGAGACTTGACATAGTTATGAAGAGTTTCAAAGCACAGTTTTGGAACTGTTTTTTGTTCTAGGAAGAATGGTCTTTCGTTTTTAGTGTTAAAAATTCTTTATATAGGGACCAGCAGATGGTGTAATGGTCACATTGCTAGACTCTCACATAGTTGACCACTGTGTGAGTCCCAGACCCACCTTCTTAAACTCATGCTGGGCACGTGTGCATGTGTGCCCAAAATCCCAAGAGAAGAATGGCGGAGAAGGGCTTGCTGTGTGCCCCTTACCCCTGGGGGGGTGCTTTCTTGGTTTCTGTCTCTGTCTCTGGTGAGCACACATACCCTATAGCAAAAATCTCTCTCGAAAAAAAAATTCTTTATATAGCATTATTTTTAAAATTATTTTATATGGCCTTATTTATTTACTTATTTTAATTTGACCAGAGAGAGTCAGAGTGTGCACACGAGAGAGGGAGAGTGAGAAAGCAAGCCGCCTGGTTCGGGACTCAAACCGCAGTCAGCCATATGGGAGTCCAGCACCCTTAACCACTATGCCACCTGCTGGGCCCCGTATAGCATTTTTTTTTTTAATGTTTTCTTTTTTCTCTCTCTTTAAGATTTTTGCCATTGGGCACATGCACTTTCAAAGAGACAGAGGAAAAGTGATAAATGACCCCCCAGTGTTATAGCCACATTGTAGTCCTTTCTCCATTCTCCTCTCAGGATTTTGGACTTGCACACACATGTGCCCGGTGTGATTTTCAAGCCACCAAGTCCAGTACTTAAACCACATTCAGCTCTGTGGGAGTCCAGTGCCTTAACCACTGTACCACCTCCTGGCCCCACTATGTCCTTTTTGTTTTTGTTTTGCCATCGGACACATGAGAGAGAGAGAGAGAGACAAGTGAGAGGGAAAGTGAGAAATCACCCCACACACACACACAGGATGGCCATGCTACAGTCAGTACCTTCTCTGTTCTCCTGGGATTTGGGCATGTATGCACACGTTCTAGCATGGTTTTCAAGCTGCCAGGTTTGGGACTTGAACCTCGATAAGCCATACAGCATTTTATCTACCATGCCACTTGCTGGCCCCCTTAATTTTTTTTTTTATAAGAATGACAGCAAAAACTGTATGAAAAAAGGAAGACAGGAAGATAAATCTTTTTTTTCAGGTTTTTGCTATAGGGTATGTGTGCTTGCTGGAGAGAGATGGAGAGAGGGAAAGTGAGAAACTACCCCCCAGGGATGATGATTATGTCACAGCCCCTTCTCCACGCTCTTCTCAAGATTTTGGCCTTGTGCACACATGTGTCCAGCATGATTCTCAAGCCACCAGGTCCAAAACTCCAACCACATTCAGCCTTGTGGGAGTTCAGCACCTTAACTACCGTGCCACCTGATGGCCCCAAGAAGATAAATCTAAAAAGTATAACAAAATTCTTGAAAAAAAAATAGAAATAAGAGAAATGTAAGAATATTAATGGAGGGACCAGCAGTTGGTGTAATGGCTATGTTGCTGGACTCCCATGTTGTCAACCGCAATTCCAGTCCTTGACCCAGTGGCTTAAACTCAAGCCGGGTGCTTGTGCTTGCGGGCCCAAGACCCCAAGAGAAGAATGGAGGAGAAGGGATTAAGACGTGGCCATCTCCCCTGGGGGGTGATTTCTCACTTTCTGTCTCTCTGTCTCTGTCTTTCTGGCGAGCGCATGTGCCCTATAGCAAAAACATCTCCAAAAGAAAAGTAATGTTTGTCTAATATGCAGTGAAGCTACAGCTAATAATCTCCCAGGCTGTTACTTGACAAGAAATAAGATCATATTTATATTATTGGGAGGTTTATTTTTTATTGATTGATTGAGAGATTTTTTGCTATAGGGTGCATACACTCACTGGAGAAACAGACAGAAAGTGATATATCACCCCCCCACATGGGGGGCATGGCTCCACCATAACCCCTTCTCTTCCATTCTCTTGGGATCTTGGGCACATGCACCTGGCGTAAGGTTTAAGCTGTGGAGTCTGGGACTCAAACTATGGTTGGCTATGTGGAAGCCAGTGACGTAACCATTACACCATATGCCTGGCCCCTGTTGGAAGGTTTAATAGGAGAAAATTTGATAGCGACATTTTCTTTTTCTTCTTTCTTTTTTAATTTATTTACTAGAGGGTACATTTGCTCTCTGGAGAAAGAGAGATGGAAAGTGAGAAAGCAACCCCTACCCCACCACTGCCCCATAGATGGCTATGCTGCAATCTCTTCTCCATTTCACCTTTGGGGATTTGAGGCATGCATGCATAATACCCAGGGTGATTATTTTATTTATTTATTTTTTTGGAGAGGTTTTTGCTATAGGGCACGTGCACTCGCCAGAAAGAGAGAGAGAGATAGCGAGAAATCACCCCCGAGGGGGGATGGCCACACCACAGTCCCTTCTCCTCCATTCTCCTCTCGGGATCTTGGGCACACACGCACACGCGCCCGGTGTGAGTTTAAGCCACCGGGATGCGAACCAAGGTCGACTTCATGGGAGTCCAGCGACATAGCCATTACGTTAACTGCTGGTTCCCCCAGAGGATGGTTAAGCTGCCGGGTCCAGGACTGAAACTGTCCTGCCGACTATGTGGGATCTTCAAGTCCTATTGTATCCTCTGTATGGAATGAACATGTTTATATCATTTCATAGATCTGAGACTCAGCACCGAGGCTCTGCTCCCCACTCTGAGAGTGATCTTCCAGAGCAAGAAGAGGAGATACTGGGATCCGATGATGATGAGCAGGAAGACCCTAACGATTACTGTAAAGGTAGGTCTGTACAGAGGTGTAAGTGTCTTTCGCATCTGCAGTTTCTCATTTGGGTGTTCGTTCCGTCAGCACAGACACAGTTTTGATACTTTCTGCTTGTTGAAGCCTTTTCTCTAGGATTCAGGAATGGCACTTGCTCTTGCTTTGACTTAATTTACCAAAGTAACGTTATATGAAATATTTATGTTTTTACCAATTTTTCTCTTTAAAAATAATAGTACATATTTATCTTACACAATTTCAAAAGTACATTAAAGGGAGTGAGGAGCTATCTGTAATGTTCTCACCTAGAAGTAATCAACAGTAACATACGTAGATTTTAAAAAAAAAAAAAAATTTTGTTTAGATATTTTTGCTATAGGACCCATGAGCTTGCCAGAAAGACAAAGTGAGAAATCATTCCCAGGGGGATGGCCTCACCGCAATCCTTTCTCCACTCTCCTCTTGGGAGAGAGTGAGTTTCAAGCTGCCAGGTCCAGTGACATAATCAGCTATCTGCCAGTCCCGTGATTTTTTTCTATACAGCAATAACATGCATAATCTCGCTGGAGAGGGTCAGAGAGAAAGAGAGAAAGCACCTCCAGGGGGATGGCCATGCCTCAGTACCTTCTCCTCCATTCTCCCCACAGGATTTTGGAAACTGCTGGTTCTGGGACTTGAACCACTCAGTCAGCCATAAGGGATCCAGCTGCCTTATCCCATCATGCCATCAGCTCACCCCAACATATATAGATTGTTTTGTTGTTTGTTTCATGGTTTTGCCATAAGGCACTTGAGTTCACCAGAGACAGACAGACAGGGAAAGTAAGAAATCACCCCCCAGGGGGGTGGCCATGCCACAGCCCTTCTTCTGTATTCTCCTCTTGGAATTTTGGGTACACACACACTCCTGGTGTGAATTCAATCTGTTGGCCCCCACCCCATGTGATTTTCAGGCTGCTGATTCCAGGGCTCAAACCTCAGTGGGCCACATGAGTGTCCAGCATCTTTGCCACCACGCCACCTGGGCGCTCATATGTGGATTAAAAAATAATAATAAAAAACAACAACAACTTTCTTGGTACTATTTTCTCATGGTGGATGGCTGCTAAAATAAGTTAAACTGGAATTATTTTTTTCTTTTTTCCTTTTTCTTTTTTTTTTTTTTTTTTTTTTGAAGAGGTTTTTTTGCTATAGGGTGCATGTGCTCACCAGAAAGACAGAGAGACAGAAAGCAAGAAATCACCCCCCAGGGTGGGTGGCCACGCCGCAATCCCTTCTCCTCCAGGATCTTGGGCACACACGCACATGCACCTGGCGTGAGTTTAAGCCACTGGGTCCAGGACTCAAACCACAGTCGACTACATGGGAGTCCAGTGACATAGCCATTATGCTAACTGCTGGTCCCTTTTTTTTTCCATTTTAAACAAGTTTTCTTTAAACAACAAGACACTTGACTTGAAGGGGAAAACTATCTAGGATTCCTTTTTTTTCTTTAAGAGTAATTTACCCCTATTTAAAGACAAATTGCCCTACATGTAACAGCTACATACAAAAAAGTTATAAAATTGTCCTTGGTTTTACAATGATAAATGAAAAACATTAAAACTCTCCAATCAAACAAGGTATGCAAGGATTTTTATGTTGTTGGGGTTTTTTTTCTTTTTCTTTTTGTTAAAACAGTGAGAGCAAAAGAACTTACTGGAATATAAAGATAAGAGCTGAATGAGCATGCCACAAATGGAGAAAAGGGGGTATTTTCACAGAACTGGCATTTTTCCCCATCCTATCTCCATTTGATGTCAATCAAAACATACCATTGGCCATTTAGTTAAAAAAAAAATGCAATATGCTTGTGCACATACACTAGTTACTTTATGTACAATAAAGGAATGGGGAAAGGAAAATGAAAGAGTAGAGAAAACTGTACTGTAGTAGTCGGGGCGTGGTGACACCAAATTGTGGTTTTCTAATTGAGAATGTGTTCTTGGTCTGTAAGAACAGAGCTCTGGAGTAAAGTAGCAGGTGCCCTTTATAGCAGACAGCTCCTGTCTGCTGTTAGAACACATCTATTGTATCTTCATCCTCCATTTCCAACTGTGCAGGTGTCTTTCGTTGATCGGCTGCCCATCAAATCGGAATCTGATCTGCCTCATTGACAAACCCTGTCGTTCACAATAGGCTTTCATTAGTTTACTAAGTGGTGTGTGCCCCTTCATCTTAAACTGCACCCCAGAACCATCCTGCCGTGCCACTTCCAAATTAACATGATCATTGTTCTTGGTCTGGACTCCTTCCTTGGGCTTTTTTTTTTTTTTTTTTTTTTTGGAGAGGTTTTTGCTATAGGGCGCGTGCGCTCGCCAGACAGACAGAGAGAGACAGAGAGATAGAAAGCAGGAAATCACCCCCCAGGGGGGATGGCCACGCCGCAATCCCTTCTCCTCCATTCTCCTCTCGGGATCTTGGGCACGCACGCACACGCTCCCGGCGTGAGTTTAAGCCACCGGGTCCGGGACTCGAACCGCGGTCGACTACGTGGGAGTCCAGCGACATAGCCATTACGCTAACTGCTGGTCCCTCCTTGGGCTTTTTGTCAGCCATGGCAAGCGCCGGAGTCTCCTCAGCTGCCACTTCACAAAAGAGGTACCAGGTCCTCACCGAACGAGCACACAGGCAGCGCCAGGAGCAGCAGAAGACGCAAGTTAAACTAGAATTTAAAAGGTGTTATCGGGGGCCAGCAGATGGCAAGCGGTTATGTTGCTGAACTCGCGCATAGCTGGCCAAGGTTTGAGCCATGTACCCGGTGGCTTGAAGATCATGCCAAGTGCGTGTGCATGCGTGACCATTCTCTCATGATGTGATTTCTCACTTTCCTTCTCTGTCTCTCACTGAGAGAGACACACACCCTAAAGCAAAAACCTCTTTTTTTTTTTTTTTTTTTAAAAAAAAGGTGGTGTTGTCAGGTTGTCTGCTGCTCCCTGATAAGACTTTCTAGGATCCATGAGATTAGGAACATTTAATGGAGTATATCAGACCATCTAGAGAAGAACTTGGTCATTCTCATCAGACAAAGATAAATGTTAAAATACTTCAATTCCTGTCACTGTTGGCAGCCTTTCAACTCTTATTTTTTTGTTTTATTTAATCTTCCTGTTTTCTTTTTTTTTTAAAGCTACATAAATAGAATTTATTGTTATTACCTCTTCTAAAACATATCCTCAGGCTGCAACTATAAAGAAATTTATTATGTTGTCAGGAGAGTAATGACACATGTTTGCATAGAGAAACAGAAAAATACGTCATGGGGACCAGCAGATGGCCTAATAGTCACGTCGCTGGACTCCCACATAGTTGATCATGGTTTGAGTCCCGGACCTGGTGGCTTAACACTTACATTGGGCACATGTATGTGCATGCCCAAAATCCTAAGAGGAGAATGGAGGAGAAGGAATTGTGGCAAGGCCATCAACCTTGGAGCATAATTTTTCTTTCTTTCTTTCTTTCTTTCTTTCTCTCTCTCTCTCTCTTTCTTTTTTTCTCTCTCTCTCTCTTTCTTTCTTTCTTTCGTCTTGTCTTCCTGTCCGTCTTTCCTTTCTTTCCTTCTTTCTTCCTTTTCTTTCCTTTTCTTTCCCTTCCCTTTCCTTCTCTTCCCTTCCCTTCTCTTCCGTTTTTTTTCCCCCCTCTCCCCTCCCTTCCCCTCTTCTTTTCTTCTCTTTTTTCTTCTTTCTGTTTGTTTCTCTGTCTCTCTGGTGAACACACATGCCTTATAGCAAAAATCTCTTTTAAAAAATAAAAAGAGAAGGCCAGCCGGTGGCACAGTGGTTAAGGATGCAACTCCCACATGGCTAACCCCGTGGTTTGACTCTGGACCTGGTAGCTTGCTTTCTCACTTTCTCTCTCTCTCAAATTTAATAAAAATAAATAAATAAATAAACATAAATTAAATAATTCTTTGAAAGAAAAAAAGAGTTTCTTCTGTTGGGGGCCAGCTGGTAGTATGTGGTGTGGTTATTAAGGGACTGGACGCACATATGGATGACTACAGTTCAAGTCCCAGACCTGGCAACTGACTTTCTCACTCTCCTTCTCCCTCTTCCTCTCTAGTCAAATAGAGGAGGAAGAAGAAGAAGAAAATTAAATGATTCTTTAAAAAAAAAAAAAAGTCTTCTGTTGAACTGGTTGTATAGAAGAAACTTTTTTTTTTTTTTAATGCTATAGGGTGCTTGCACTAAGGGGGCAGGGAGGAGAATTCACCCCTAGGAGGGATTGACCACACTGCAGTTCCTTCTCTTATTCTCCTCTCAGGATTTTGGGCACAAAGGCACACATGTATGGTATGTTTTTCAAACCACTGGGTCCAGAATTTGAACCACAGAGTTGGTCGTGTGAGATGCCATAACCACTATGCCACCAGCTGGCCTTCAAAGAAACTTTATTTGATTAGAAGTATATAGATGTTGCTCTGCTGGGCATTGGGCCCAGGTTCAGTGCTGAGAGCCCTTTGTCCTAGGAAATGGTATGCAACCGGCTGGAAAGGGGGCCGCTCCATCACCTGTCACAGAGCACATTCATGGGGAATCGTGTTGCTAAACCTTCTATAGAGGACCTGCTTCTAGGTCTGGGTTTCTTATGTAGTGGAGCAGCTCCCTCCCTGCAGTCTATTGAGTCAGCCCAAACCCTCAGTCAAGGTCGGTGAAAAATAAATTTTAAAAAGTATATCAATGTTGAAAATGGGATATGAACTACCTTTTCTTATTTAAGTGATTGTTTCTCCTTTTGTTTCTTCTGATTGTATTATTATTGTTGTTTCTTCCAGGAGGTTATCATCTTGTGAAAATTGGAGATCTGTTTAATGGGAGATATCATGTGATCCGGAAGTTGGGCTGGGGACACTTTTCAACAGTGTGGTTATCATGGGATATTCAGTAAGTTTTAGTGGTGTCCTGCAAAAGAATTAGTTGGATGATATCTAATATTTTTTTGTCTGATTTTTCTAGAGATGATCTGGGCTTCAGTTTGTCTCCATGCTATTTCTTACATTCTGTCATTGATAAAAAATCTTTATGGTCTTAGACAAATAATTTTCATCACTTGAAAAATCGGTAATATGTATCTACTTCTCCACCTAAGAGACAAAGGTTGGTTAATTAGTATCAATAAAGCTTTTAGAACTCCCAAATTCAAAGTATTACAATACTCTATGGAAATATACTATGTAGATTTATATTAGGCTGTTGGAAAGGTCATGATGTATTTTTTTCTCTGCAATTGTGCATCATGACTTTCTGAGGACCCATTTAGACCCAATTTAACTCACTGGCTTAGACCCCCCACCTATGTGAAATTACTTTGTAACAGATGTGCTCAACCATGTAGTCTATGTGGAAACCATCGGCAATAAAAATATCTCATTGGGAACCAGCAGTTAGCGTAATGGCTATGTCGCTGGACTCCCACGTAGTCGACCGCGGTTTGCGTCCCGGACCCGGTGGCTTAAAACTCACACTGGGTGCGTGTGTGTGCGTGCCCAAGATCCCGAGAGGAGAATGGAAGAGAAGGGATTGCAGCGTGACCATCCCCCCTGGGGGGTGATTTCTCGCTTTCTGTCTCTATGTCTCTCTCTGTCTGTCTGGCGAGCACACGTGCCCTATAGCAAAAAACCTCTCAAAAAGAAATTCATTAACATGGAAGGTTTACTTAACACATAAAAGTGTATACGTGTCTTTGATTAAACAGTAATTGCTACCTTATGCACTTCACTTTTTATCATTTTCTTTTTCTTTTTTTTTTTTTTTAAGAATTATTTTATTTAACTTTATTTTATATATATTTTTTAATTTGACCAGAGAGAAAGCCACCAGGTTCAGGACTTGAACCGCAGTCAGCCATGTGGGAGTCTAGCACCCTTAACCAACATGCCATCTGCCAGCCCCAGATTTTTTTGGTGATTTTCATCATATTGTTTTCACCCAAATTTTTTTTCTGGCTCTTTTTTTTTTTTTTTTTAAAGAATTACACATTAACTTTTATTATCATTATTATTTTCCAATCATTCACTTTTATTATCATTATTATTTTCCAATATCATTGTTATTTTCCAGTTTGCTTGCTATAGGACACATGTGCTCACCAGAGAGTCTGAGTGAGAGAGAGGAAACGTGATAAAGCAAGCCACCAGGTTCAGGACTCAAAGCGTGGTTAGCCATGTAGTAGTCAAGTACCTTAACTACTATACCACCTCCTGGTCCCTTTCTGACTTTTTGAGAGGTTTTTGCTATAGGGCACGTGTGCTTGCCAGAAAGACAGAGACAGAGAAATGGAAGCAAGAAATCACCCCCCCCCCGGGGGGGGATGGCCACATCACAATCCCTTCTCCTCCATTCTCCTCTCAGGATTTTGGGCATGCACACACACGCACCCAGCATGAGTTTAAGCCACCGGGTCTGGGACTCGAACCACAGTTGACTACATGGGAGTTCAGCAGCATAGCCATTACGCTAACTGCTGGTCCCCCGGTGTGAGTTTAAGCCACTGGTCCGGGACTTAAACTGCAGTTGACTGCATGGGAGTCCAGCAACATAGCCATTACACCAACTGCTGATCCCCCTTTTTGACTTAAAAGAAAGTTAGTGCTTTTAACTTTTTAACTTTGGCTATACAGATATATAGGATATCTTTGATTTGGTGGATTTAGTTTCCTTCTTTTCCCCATTTCATGGTTTTACTTAGGATTCAGAAAGATAGTCACAAAATGTATTTTTGCTTAGAGAAACATTTAACAACTGATATGATTTGAGTACAGATTTCCCTCTACTTAGTGCCATTAACATGCAGGTGATGGTACAGAAGTAATTTATGTTTGGCTACAAAGAAACATGAAACTTAACATTTCTACTTTCTTACCATTTCCTAGCTATAGCTGCATCTTAGCCTCCTAAAGTAAAAGTAAGATATTTAGTCTTAATTGCCTGTGTTTTTTCTTAGGGGGAAGAAGTTTGTGGCAATGAAAGTAGTTAAAAGTGCTGAACATTATACCGAAACAGCACTAGATGAAATCCGGTTGCTGAAATCAGTGAGTATAAAGATGATGTGTGTGAACTGTAAAGTAGCGTCAGCAAGTTAAGTTTTTCAAATTACAGCATACCAAGTGGTAGCCTCAAAAATCAGATTTATTTTCAGTTTTGTTATAATTAGGAAAATGTCAGTGTGATAAGTAGCAAAAAGCTCAGAAAACCTGCATTTTAGGTCCAGCTTTATACTGGTGTGTCCTCTGTCCCATCATTCTTTTCCTTCTGCACCTAAAGTGTTGGATCAGAAGATCTTTAAAGTAAGAAGGTTGGGCCTCAAAATAAATCAGCATACTGCTCTCATTGAGACAGTATCTCTAGGCCAGTGTGGTCTGCAGCTGCGCTGCACCCTCTAACAGCTCTTACTGTCTCGTAGCCTGGTAACTGTTTACTTGGAGGCTGCACTTTGCGTAGCAAAATGGTCGAATTTGAAAAGTAGTCTCTGTTGGTTGTATTTCTTCTCATGAGCTATTTAAGTTATTTTTCTGTTTGAGTTACTGAAATTTTATTATGTGTCTCTTACAGATTTATATGAGCTCTTTCTTAGAGTTAATTTACTGCAGATATTTCTCACCACCCCTTATGCTTATTTCCATTTTCCCTTTTGCTAATTCCTGCCCCTTTTCCACTACAGGTTCGCAATTCAGATCCTAGTGATCCAAACAGAGAAATGGTTGTTCAACTACTGGATGACTTTAAAATATCGGGAGTTAATGGAACACGTATCCTTTTAAGAACCTATAATAACAATGCCTTTTTTTTATTGTACACTTATGAATATGGATCTGAATTTTGTCTCTTTTTGTGTGGTATGATTTTTCAAGAATGCTGTAGGCACTTCCTTTTTAGGCAAATTAAATCAAAGTCAAAAGAAAGTTTTTTAGAAAATAACCTTGTATTACTAAGTAAAGATTCTGTGATCTTTATCAGCACTTTTTTTTTTTTTTGAAAGATTTTTTGCTACAGGGCACGTGCACATTCTAGAAAGACAGAGAGGCAGAGAGACAGAAAGTGAGAAATCAACCCCCAGGTGGAGTGGCCACGCCGCAGTCCCTTCTCCATTGTCCCTTAGGGATTTGAGGCATGCACATATGTACAGATGCCTGACAAGAATTTTATGCAGCAGAATCCATGGTTGACTACTTGGGAGTCCAACAACGTAACCATTACACCATCTGCTGGTCCCAATTAGCACAAATTTTAAAAGAAATAATTTTTCATTAAAAAGACTAGGTAAATAAATTTCATGCATGATTTTATTTATTGTTCATATGCCTCAATATTTTTTAAGAATTATTTTTATTTATTTAATTTGACCAGAGAGGGACAGAGAGAGAGAGAGAGAGAGAAAGCAAGCCACCAGATCTGTGACTTGAACTGTGGTTGGCCATGCGGGATTCCAGCACTCTTAATCACCACGCCATCTGCCAGCCCCCGTCAAACTTGTTTTATGTTCGTATCTGGATTTTTAGGATTTTAAAATTGAAAGGGGGTCAGTCCTGTAGCCTAATGGTTAAGGGAACCAGATCCCACATGGCTGACTATGGTTCACATCCCAGCCCTGATGATTTGAAAAATATGCTGGGCACATGTGCATGCAGCTCCAGATTTCAACAGGAGAGAGAGAGAGAGAGATGGACTCGATGCCGCAGTCCTCCAGCCTCCATAGGTTTTTGCCATAGGGCGGGCTCCACCACACCCCTAAATTTCAATAGGATGGAAAAATGGAGAAGAGATTATGGCATGACCACACCAGATTGGGAGGTGCTTCCTGCTTCTCTCTCTGTGTCTGGTGAGCTCACATGTCCTCTAGCTATTATAAAAAATTTTAAAAACTACAAATTAGAAGGAATTTTCAGATTTTCTTCACAAGTTACTATCAAAGTGATGTGTTATGAGCTAATTGAGAGGTTATTACAATGGCTATGTTTATGAAGGCCTATCAGATTTTTCAGAATAAGAAAATAAAGGAGTATCTTACTCAGATTGAAGATAGATATCTAATCTTTCCCTTTTTTTTAAGAGATATTTCTGCTATAGGGTGCATGTACTTGCCAGAGACAGAGAGGCAGAAAGCCAGAAATAACTCTTTCCTGGGGAGATGGCCATTCCACAGTCTATTTTCCTCTTGTGATTTTGGGCACACACACACATGCACCTGGTGTGATTTTTTTTTTTAAGAATTATTTAATCTTATTTATTCATTTTTTTATTTTAATTTGACCAGAGAGAGACACAGAGAGAGAATGGGAAAGTGAGAAAGCAAGCCACCAGGTCCAGGACTTGAACCGTGGTTGGCCATGTGAGAGTGTCCAGTGCCTTAACCACCATGCCACCTGCTGGGTCCCTTCCCCCCGCCCCTGTGTGAATTTTAAGCCACCGGATCCTGTTTATACCTTCTGTCTATAATTTTGTAGCTAATCTTAGATATATTATTTCATCTATAATTATTTTGGAATTGCGTCTCTAGAAGACAAGGACTTTTAAAATGTAATCGCAACACAATTTATTATACTTTAAAAAAAGTTGGGACTGGGACTAGCAGTTGGCATAATGGCTATGTTGCCAGACTCCCATGTAGCTGACCGTGGTTCAAGTCCCGGACCCAGTGGCTTCAACTCATGCTGGGCATGTTTGCGTGCGTGCCCAAGATCCTGAGAGGAGAATGGAGGAGGAGGAGAAATTACGGCGTGGCCATCCCCCAGTGGGGAGTGATTTCTTACTTTGTGTCTCCCTGTCTCTCTCTGTCTTGTTTACTTTTATTTATTCATTCATTTATTTTAATTTGATGAGAGGGGGAAAGTGAGAAAGCAAGCCACCAGGTCCAGGACTTGACCTGTGGCCAGCCACGTGGGAGTGTCCAGCACCTTAACCACTGTGCCACCTGCTGGTTCCCAGGCTCTATAACTTTTTACTACTGAAAGGAAATGATATTTTCATTGTGGTAGAATCCACATTTTGTATTGCCCTGTTCTTCTGTCTCTTTTCTCCTTAACAGACCCCTAGACATCTGCATGGTGTTTGAAGTTCTGGGGCATCACCTACTCAAGTGGATCATCAAGTCCAACTACCAGGGGCTTCCACTGCCTTGTGTCAGAAAAATCATTCAGCAAGTATGTATCTTAGTCTTTGGTATGTTGTGGCTTATTCATATTCTTAAAGTGACAGGAGTTGCATGTTTCCAATAATTTTCATTTTAGAAACTAGGGTTTGTTTTTTGGGTTTTTTGGTTTTTGGGTTTGTTTTTTTTTTAAGCGGTTTTTGCTATAGGGTGTGCACTCACTGGAAAGACAGACAGAGAGACAGAAAGCGAGAAATCACCCCCCAGGGGGGATGGTCACACCGCAATCCCTTCTCCACTCTCCTCTCGGGATCTTGGGCATGCATGCACACACGCCCAGCGTGAGTTTTAAGCCACCCGGTCCAGGACGTGAACTGCGGTCGACTATGTGGGAGTCCAGCAACATAGCCATTATGCTAACTACTAGTCCCTGTTGTTTTTTTTTTAAAAAAAACAAGTATTTCACCAGACTTCTAGGGCTTATTACGTTTATTCTGTTTTTAAATATTTTAGCAAAACCATTTTTCCTTAGGTTCATCTTTTATAATAATTAGTAGAGAGAGAAGCTATGTGAGGCAGCTCACTTTAGAAAATTAGAGCCCTAATCTGTAAGTTGTGGTTGCAGTTATAAAGAAGTGCCATGTCAAATTATACCATCTCTTGGGACCAGCAGTTAGCATAATGGCTATGTCACTGGACTCCCATGTAGTCGACCTCGGTTCGAGTCTTGGACCAGGCAGCTTAAACACACGCTTGGGCATGTGTGCGTGCGTGCCCAAGATCCCGAGAGGAGAATGGAGGAGAAGGGATTGCAGCATGGCCATCCCCCCTGGGGGGTGATTTCTCGCTTTCTGTCTCCCAGTCTCTCTCTGTCTGGTGAGCGCACGCGCCCTAAAGCAAAAACTTCTCAAAAAAAAAAAAAAATTATGCCATTTATACATTATTCAAGAGCGTTTTCTAAATAGCCTTTGATATAAGGTGTAGAATTTTACCATTAGAGAAATAGTCATATTTCATGAGTCACATTTTTTGGGGGGTAATATATTAGGTCATCGGGAAAGTCATGGCATATTTTTTTCTGTTTTTCTATGCAAAAATGCGTCATGACTTTCCAGACAACCCAGTATACTTGAAGGCGCTCCAGACTGGAATGTAAGAAGCCTCAGTTCTTTATCAATGAGGAAATTTGAACGAAAAGATACCTAAAACTCTTCCATCACCTACATTTCAACACTTAAATGGGTGTTTTGAATATTTCTTCTTAGTCTTTATAAATAAAATAGGTAAAGAATACCTCAATAGATTAGCTTTGTAAAATGTCTAAGAATTTATTATTGTAAATAAATTCTTGACTTTGTCATAGTATACAATTAATCTTTCACTGGAAATTCCATTGTGTTTAGAAAGCAAAGTGCCTCATTCTCTAGGAAATACGCTCATTTTGTTTGTGATTTCTTCCTTCTCTAAAAAAACTTGTATTTTGTGTTTGCAAGTCTACTGCTCTGTTTCCATCCAGGTGTTACAAGGTCTGGATTACTTACACACTAAGTGCCGTATCATCCACACTGACATTAAACCAGAAAACATCTTATTATCAGTGAACGAGCAATACATTCGGAGGTTGGCTGCAGAAGCAACGGAATGGCAGCGATCCGGAGCTCCTCCACCTTCTGGATCTGCAGGTACATTTTGTTTTGGGGACTTTGTTCTCCTCAGAAGTTAAGAGAAATTTCTATTTTTATTGTTACCAGGGAGTTAAATAACTTCCACTCAGTCATTTGATAATAAAGTATTTAAGAACAAGTATCAGACTTCAAAAGACTAATTTATTCTCATTATTCTCACATGGGAAGACTAGAGATTGTTGTGTCTTTTAGGTACAGGTATATTGTATATTATAAAAGCTGCTTCATGTTGTTTTAAAATATTTTTCCTTGTGATGAGCCTTGCTGGCCATTTTTGAGGCGTTTATCTTTTACCGTGAACACCCATGCTGACTTAGGGATCAGCAACCTATAGAGGGGCAAAATAACATTGCTGTCAAAGGGTTGGGTTTAAGCACTAGAGTACACAGACCAGCTTTGAATGCTGGTTTCATGTGAACATCAGCTGGGAGACCGCGCCCGAGTTATTTCACTTCATTCTCCCTTATGTGAGAGTTATTGGGATTGCATTTCCTGTCAGAGCAGTTAGTGCCATGTAGCAGTGCCACGTTTAATAAAGTATGGCTGGCATATTT